ATTTTCATCCTGTATAATTAGTTCTTCTGCAAGAGCTGAACAATAAATACAGCTGTCAGGCTTCAGTGCCTGGGCCTGTCATGTGAGGGGGATGCCACTGCAGCTCAGCCCACTGGCATGTTGTCTGACGTCCTTTCTTCCCTCCCCCTGCACACCTGCATGGACCAGCTGGACTTGCTTAACTCTCAGCTGATTAAAGGGTAGGGCTAAGAAAGCTGGGGCCAGCTGGTGACTAAACCATGAAGGAGGCAAAGCTTATTTTCAGTGGCCTCAGCTTTCCAGCTCTCCCCTGCCCCATAGAATCATAACACGTCATGGCAGGAAGGACCTGTAAGCAGAGCACACAGAGATTCAGAGCTGGGAGGGCCCTTAGAACACAGGATGTCAGAGCTGGGAGGGCCCTTAGAACACAGGATGTCAGAGCTGGGAGGGCCCTTAGAACCTAGGATATCAGAGCTGGGAGGGCCTTTAGAAATAGTATGTCAGGGCTGGGAAGGCCCTTAGAACACAGAATGTTAGGGCTGGGAGAGATTTAATTTAATTAAAAAAGGAATCATCATGCAACTTCATTTCATAGATGAGAACACTCAGAGAGGGGAAGTAACAGATTGCAGACTTCAGTCTAGGCACTCTGGCTGGGCAGGAATTGTTCTTGCTTTTTTCTGGCATCTCTGGCACAAAGTAAGTACCTAATCAATGCTGATTGATTGACTCCCAATCCCACACTCACACCTTTGCACCACACTGCCTTGCATAGGCTGAGAAACACCAGAGGTAGATAGGGCTGGCCATACTCCCAGGCCAGCTTGGGCTGGATCCAGGACTATTTGCAGGAATGTTGTCCTAATGAGGCCCCAGGAATACCTATAGAAGCATGAAAACGTAAGGAGAGGAGGTGACTATGCCCCCTCCCCATCTCTGCCCCAGTCACAGGTTTGCTGAGCTATCGATCAATATCAGATAAGACAATAGCTATTTCAATCGCTCATTCTACCACCTTTGGCAGGCCTGATCCTGACTGAAATCTCAAGCAGCTGGTGACAAGGGCTGCAGAAATCCTGGAAGACTTTGGATGAGCTCTGACTCCCTCCCTTTCCCTTCTACTGATGGGAATTAAGTCCCAGACAGGCCTTCTGAAAAGACAAAAATGTGGAGAAAGGGCATGATCACTGGCTTTAACTTAAACGGGAGGAGGATGAAATTTATTCTACTTAGACCCAAAGGGCAGATCTCCTAGCCAGGTGACCTTGGATAAGCCAAGTGACTTACAGATGAAGAACTAGAAAGGTAAAGTTACCTCTCTGAGTCTCAGGGTCTTCATTTGTGTGGTTTGAAAAAAACAAACCAACCAAATACACACATTTGTTATTTATTTTTAATGTTCATTTAAAAAAAATTGTGAGTTCCGAATTCTCTCCTTCTATATTGCTCTTCTCTCACCCATTGAGAAGGCAAGCAATGTGATATCAATTATATGTGTGAAATCATGCTAAACAAATTTCCATATTAGCCATGTTGCAAAAAGAAAAGTAGGGCAGCTAGGTGGTACAGTAGATAGAGCTCTGGACTGGGAAGTCAGGAAGATTCATCTTCCTGAGTTCAAATCTGGCTCCAGACACTTAGTATGTGTGTAATGGTGGGCAAGTCACTTCACCCTGTTTGCCTCAGTCTTCTCAACTGTCATATGAGCTGGAGAAGGAAATGGCAAACCACTCCAATATCTTTGCCAAGAAAACCCCAAGTGGGGTCACTAAGAGTCAGATATAACTGAAATAATAGAACACCAAAAAGAAAAACAAAGAAAGTGAAAAAATTATGCTTTAATCTGTACTCAGACTTATCAGTTCTCTCTCTGAGGTGGATAGCATTTGTCATCACGAGTCCTTTAGAACTGTCTTGGATTGTGTTGATCAGAGTAACTAAGTCTTTCATAGCTGACTATCATTATAATATTGTGGTTACTGTGCACAATGTTCTTTTGGTTCTACTCGTTTCACTTTGCATCAGTTCATATAAGTCTTCTCAGGTTTTTCTGAAACCATCGCCTTTACCATTTCTTATAGCACAATTGCGTTTAATCACAATCATATACCATAACTTGTTCCTGGTCAGCCATACCTCAACTGATGGGCATCCTTTCAATTTCTAATTCTTTGCCGCCCCAAAAAGAGTTGCTATAAATATCAGTTTCTCCATTTGTAAAGTGGGTTAATAATAAACTCCCTAACTTATAAGGTTTTGTGATGAAAGGACTTTGTAAATTTTAAAGTGGTTCATAAATTGAATCATTATTAAGAATTATAATAGTAAGTAGGAACAACGGTTGGAAATGGCAGAGAGGCAGATTTTGGGTTCTATTTAAGGAAAAAAGTTTCTAATGCTCAGAGCCCGTTGAAACCTCTCAGATTTTGGGTGAGCTGCTGTTGCTATGGCAAATCCAGATATTTCCAAGTTCTTCCTTTGCTGCCTTGTATCTAAAGCTTCGTAAAGGAGATCTAGCATCACTCAAAGATTTCACCTACACCATCCACATGAGAAAAACCAAGTGGATGAAGAATTTCTCTTGTTCTGACTACGATACACAGTTGGATGAACAGACTCTGATCAAAGACAGTGAACCAGTCCTAGTACTGAAGAGGAGACCTAGCTCAGCTGCCTTTGGGAAAACTGACAGGTTTTTAATGGCTTCCAAGTCTGTCCCTAAAAGCAAAGGCCCATCTTTTTAACAACAAGATTCTTCTGATGATTCTGTATGCCTATGAGTCATAGAATACCACAGATTCCAAAGAATAAAAGCTGTGGGTCGGTCACCCAGAGGGCAATGGGGAAGCATGAAGTGGTTGGGATGGGGGAAGTGGGGAGCAGGGTATGATGTACCGATAACCAAGAAAGGCCCAAGAGAAGCAGGATAAAAATGTTATCAGAGAGCTGGGACAACAGAAAGGAAGGCGGGCTGGTCATGATGTGATGAGAGGGAAGGAGAATCAAGGGACAGCCAGCTGGTTCCCTTGGTAACCACATAAAGTCAACACAAACCTCCTTGTTTTCTCTTACATTCAACACACCATCTTCTCTCTCCATGCCTTTGTGGAAAATGAAACCTGGGGCAGCTAGGTGGTGCAGTGGACAGAGAAACTGGCTCTGGAGTCAGGAGGACCTGAGTTCAAATGCGGCCTCAGACACTTACTAGCTGTGTGACCCTGGCCAAGTCACTTAACCCTGTTTGCCTCAAAAAGCCCAAAACAAAGTGTCTCGTATACCTGGAATGTTCTCCTTCCTCTTCCCTGCCTCTTGGCTTCCTTCAGGTCCCAGCTAAAATCTTACTTTCTACAGTCATTGCCCTTAATACTAGTGCCTTCCCTCTACTGATTGTCTCTAATTCATCCTATCTTTGTCTTGTCTGTGAATAGTTATTTGCATGGTGTTGACTCCATTAGACGTAAGAGCAGGGACTGTCTTATGCCTTTCTTGGCATCCCCAGGGCTTAGCATGGTGCCTGGCACATAGCATGGATTAATAAAAGCTAGCTGACCTCCTGACCGATTACCAGGCACTGTGCTAGGTTCTGAGGACACAAGGACAAAAACAAAGACTTTTTGGCCTCAAGGAGCTTACCTCCTTCTGGGGCAAAATGAAGTGTAGAGAGCTCAGTAAGATGCAAGGTAGGAATATTTGAGGAGGAGTTCAGGGAGGGCTATGTGGAGGAGGCAGCACCAGAACTGTATACTGAAGGATTCTGAAAGGCAGAGGGGAGGAGGGAGTCCATTCCAGGACGGGGAGACAGAAAGAATGGCTGAAGTAAAGAGCGTGATCAAAAGTCAATTAGAAATGGCAAAAAACATTGTTGGACAGTAGTGACAGCCTAGCAGAGGACATGAATCATCATAGGTTAGTGGAGCTTTTGTTTTTCTTGAAATTTTATTTCCTCTGGTCAACAGCACAGGCAGCTGGGTGGTTCAGTGGTCAGACTGCTAGACCTGGAGTCAGGAAGTCCTGAATTCAAATCTAGCCTCAGACACTTAATAGTGATGTGGCCTAAGAATGTCATTTAATTTCTCTCAACCTTAGTTTTCTCATCTGTAAAATGGGGATGATAATAATAGTACCTATCTCCCAGGGTTGTTATGAGGAGCAAATGAGATAATACATATAAAACACTTTGAAAAACTTAAAGTGCTACATCAGTACTAAGTATTATTATTATTATTATTACCACTACTTCCTAGGGTTGTTGTGTGGGTCAAATGGGATATTTCAGGGCATCCCAAATGTCTTAGTGTAGATTTAAGCTTTAACAACTTTTTCAGTCATGTCTGACTGTTGGTGACCCCACTGGGGATTAGGCACAAATGAAAAATGACTAAACAACAGAAAAAGTGATGGAAAAATGTTGATGATACAGATTAAACTTAAAAGTGGGTCATTCTAATATTTTTCTGGAGAGCTGCTTGTTAAACATTTACAAGCAGCCTACACAGCCTCACAGTCTCTGGGCTTCTTCCCAGATTCTGAGACTCTGTGTCATGACTGACACTCACATTCTGCCCTTCCTCCAACGCCCAGAACCCAGAACAGTGCTCTGCACAGAGTAGGCTTATAAGAAACATGTTTTGAATTAATGAATGAAGGAAGGAAGGCTAAGGCATATAAAGGGAACAAGGGGAAGACAACAAGCATTTATTAAGTGCCTACTATATGCCTGGCACTATGTAAGTGCTTTACAAATATCTCGTATAAAGCAGATCTAACGAGTGTGGTCCCAACGCACACCTTTGTGGAGGTTGACAGGTGCTACACGTCACACATTTTCCAGACAATAAATTTGTTGCTCAGTTGTGCTGACTCTTTTTCCTCTCTAAAAGAATATATTTGTTGTATGGGATGGCTCTCTGGAAGGGATACTTGGGTTAACTATGGTGATGTAAGAAACAGAAAATATCAACAAAAACTTATTTCAAAATTTTTTCTTTAAAACCTGAGTATGTCAGACTGTACAGAAGGGTTTGAATGGGCTGACTGGAGGCAGGGAGGTCTGTTAAGAGGCTGATGTAATAACCCAGGCAGAGGGCTGATGCCTGAGTTGAACAAGGGCTCATAAAGCACCACTTTCAGAGCCCCTTTCCGTCCTTCCACACCCCAGTCCAGTCCCCCTGACTTTGCAGTCAGTCACTAAACCAACCAGTGGGTCCAGCTGGGCTGTATCTGCTGCTGTTGCTGCTGCTGCTGCAAGATCAGTCTCTCTTTCCAGAAACAACCAGCCAGCTCCCCAGAGGCTTCAGCAGACCTGCTGTCCATCATCAGGCTTTCAAGCTCCCTGACGCCAGCATGGAGGTAGATGGCTAGGGGTGCACACACGCATGCCCAGGGATGAGTTCCCTTGTGTGGGGCTGGCTTCCCCGTCTCTGTCTGCCCTGCTCTGAGCAGGGTTCACACATCTGTATCCTGCTGAGTCAGGGAAGCCAAGTCTTCAATTTTAGGTCAGCAGCAACTCCGTGCTAAAAAGATTAAAAAAACACCAAAAAAAAATTTTCCAAACCTAGACCTCCCCCTACTTCCCCCCCACAACACACACACCACAAAGGTTATTTGTAAGCAGGGGAGTGCCTCCAAGAAATGTACCAACCAGTCTAGATGAGGGTGATCATCCTGACCTTCGGTGTCTCAACTCCCTGCCTCCCCCCTTTTCTTCACAATAGTGGGGAGTGGATTGTACCAGCCCAGCTATATTCTCACCTTAGCTATATAGTGGCAAAGCCAAACTTCTATCTAGGATCGGGTAGGGACTAGACCTGTGGTTTTACTGCTCTAGGGAAATCCCTGGTAAGGAAACTCCATCTGCCAATGCAGATTGCAGATTCTCATCCCCTAGACCCTTCAATGCAGATGAGTACCTGTAATCTATAATCCTAAATCAGAGTTTCTTAATCTTTTCTCTGTCCTGGACCTCTTTGGTAGTCTGCTGAATCCTAGGGTCCCTAGGTCATTTAATAGTATAGGCTTAGCATATTAGAGGGTTCCAAAACAAACTGAAGGTTGGTAGAAGTCAATATCTAATTTTTTTTGGGGGGAGGCCTACAATGGAGTTAAGTGACTTGCCCAGGGTCACACAGCTAGTAAGTGTTATGTGTCTAAGGCTGAATTTGAACTCAGGTCCTCCTGAATCCAGGGCCGGCGCTCTACCCACTGCGCCACTTAGCTGCCCCTCATCAATACCTAATTCTCCCCAAGGTCACAGTCCCCTGTACCCCCTCAGGTCTTAAAGAATTGCTGTTTGGGGTTAGGGAGGGGGTATCTGGGAGTTACATGTAGTAACACGCTCAGGGTCACACAGCCTGTGTACGTGTCAGAGGTGCCCCGGTGTACCATCATCTTCTCTTTACCTGTAACTCCAATGCCCAGGGCAGTGCCTGGCACATGGGTGGGAGGTGTTTAATAAATACTTAGGGAGTGATTGATTGATGAAAGACCTGGGATGGGATCCTGGCTCTATGACTTCCTGCCTATGGGACCTTGAGTGAGTTACGTAACCCTTTTTGGGCCCTGTTTTTCCTCATCACTAAAATAAGGGAATTGAGCTGAGCAATCTCCTGGTGACACATTGCCCTGGCTTCCCTTTCCTGCACCTTCACTCATTCCCCTCTGCTCACTGGTCTTCCTCTATCACTCAGTAACCTTCTTTTCCTTTGAGGTTCAAGTCATTCATATCTACGACCCGATCAAAATCCTGGTAGTTATTGTCTACAGCCCTCTATGTCACTTCCTTTCCTTCCTTAATGAGTTCAGTACCTGGCTTACAATTTTTCTCTCCTCTCCAACTCCTACCTTAATACTAGGGGACTTCAATATACATATTCCCATGTCTACCATTCTCAAAAGCCCTCAGCTGATTCTTCCATCCTTCCTATATCTTTTCTACCCTTTTGTGGCTAGACTCCTTGAAAAGGCCATCTATGATGGTCTCCATTTTTTCTCCTCTCATTTTCTTCTTCTTTTTTTCCCCCTCTTTTTAGGCAATTGGGGTAAAGTGACTTGCTCAGGGTCACACAACTAGAAGGTGTGAAGTGTTTGGTCTGAGGCCGAATTTGAACTCAGGTCCTCCTGATTTCAGGGCTGGTGCTCTATCCACTGTGCCACCTAGCTGCTCCACTCTTGCTTTCTTCTTAACCCCTTACAATCTGACCTTATCATGCCCCCAAAACTGCTCTTTCCAAAGTCACTAATGATCTCTCCATTGCCAAACCCAGTGGCCTTTTCTCTGTCTCATTCTCCTTGATCTCTCTGTGGCCTTTGACATTGTGGATCACTCTCTCTTCCTCAATACTCTCTTCTTTCTAGGTTTTCAGGGCAACACTCTCTCTTGGTCCTCCTCCTACCTCTCTGACCACCCTTCTCTCTCTCTTTTGCTGGATCCTCCATCTTACACCTTCTAACCATAGGTGTCCCTCAGGGTTCTGTCTTGGGTCCTCTTCTCTTCTCCCTCCATAGTACTTCACTTGGTGATCGTATCAGCTCCTGTGGATTTAACTACCATCTCTATGCTGAAAATTCTTAAATTTACCTTTCCTGCCCCAACCTCCAATCTTGCATTTCCAGCTGCCTTTCAGATATCTCAAACTGGATGTTCAGTAGCCAGCTTAAACTCAGTATGTCCAAAACAAAATTTCCTTCCCTATTACTGTAGAGGGCAACACCCTCCTCCCATCCCTCAGGCTCCAGCCTAGGAGTCAGCCTGGACTCCTCACTATCTCTCACCCCCATATCCAAGCTGTTGCCAAGACCTGCTGATTTCACTTCTGCAACATCTCTCCAACACTTGCCCTTCTCTCCTCTGACATTGCCCTGACTCTGGTACAGACCCTCATCACCTCATGCCTGGATTACTGCAATAGCCTGCTGGTGGGTCTGCCTACTTCAACTCTCTCCTCATTCTAATCCATGGTCCATCCAGCCACTAAAGTCATTTTCCTAAATCACAGTTTAGATCACGTCACACACCACCCACCATCTTACCCCCAACTCAATAAACCCCAGTGGCTCCCTATTGCCTCCAGGAGCAAATCCAAAATGCTCTATTTGGAATTCAAAGACCTCCATAACCTAGCCCCCTCCTACCTTTCCAATCTTCCTATATCTTATTACTGAAATGTACTCTTGTATCCAGTGATATTGACTTCCTGACTGCTCCACACCCAAAACGCTCCATTTCTGGGCTCTTCGGTATTTTCTCTGACTGTCCCCATGCCTGGAATGCTCCTCTGCTCCAACTACTGACCTCCTTGGCTTCCTTTAAGCCCCAGCTAAAATCTCATCTTTTACAGGAAGCCTTTCCCAATTCCTCTTAATTCCAGTGCCTTCCCTCTGCTAATCATTTCCTATTTATCCTTGTACAGAACTTGCTTTGTTTATATTTGATTACTTGTTATCTCATCCATTAGATCATAAATGCCTTGTTTTTTGCCTTTCTTTGTATCTCTAGCACTTAGCAGAGTGCCTGGAACATAATAGGCATTTAATAAATGTTTCTTGATTCCTTAATAATAATTGCTCCTGTTGACAGGCAATGACATGGAGTGGGTCGAGAACCCCCCTCAGAGTCAGGAAGACCTGGCCTCCTGTCTAGCCTCTTGCACTGCAACACTGGCTGGATGAGCGTGAGTAAGTCACTTAACTTCTCAGCATCCTGTGGAACCATCTCCGACTATCAATTACAGAACAGCTGGCAATTCACATCAGGCAAGGGAGTTTCCACACCAGGGAGATTCCCCACACTGGGGAATCATAGTCTGACCCAAAAAATAGACGGTCAACTTCATACATGTAGCACTTTAAGATTTACAAAACACTTTCCCCACCACAACTCCATGAGGGAAGGATTGTGAGTATCCACCATATTTTTTTAAACATTTGAGGAAATTGAGGCCCAGCAAATGGAAGTAACTAGCCCAAGGTCAGAGGCAGAATTTGAACCCTGGTATCCTGACTCAAAGTCCAGTACAACTTAAAATTAAAAAAAAAATTATAACAAAATTTTTAAAAAATGTTTTATTAATACTCTTTTTTTTGGCTCTCTCTCAGTACCTACTTACCCACAGCCTCCTCCTACTCCATCCATATAGAAGTTCTCCCTTGTAACAAATAAGAATAACCTGGAAAAACAATTCAAACATTGGCGATGACTGAAAAATATCTTTGCTCAGCACTTCTAACTCATCTCCTCTCCAAGTTCACTTCTCTTAATCAATTCACCACAAGCACTTACATAGAAGGAATGGTGTCAGGGGTTAGTTTGGGGCACATTCTGTGGCCAATTGGTCCATAAGGAGATGGCTAAGGGCCCTGGGTCCCTTTCAGAAGCCTTTTAGGTGCCTCCTGGACAGTCCAGCCCAGGTTTCCTCTGGCTTTGCAGGGACCATGTTGCCCCCTGGGCAATCATTGCTTCACTCAGAGTCCCAGCACTCTCCCTTCCCTCCCATCAACCTTGAGTCTCACTCTCCAGCCAGCAGTCCCACTGGCCCCGCCATGCTGGATCCAGGCCACCCAGGCTTGGAGTTCCAGTATTATCTTTGACTTTTCCCTCTTCCCTTTGTCTATCCTGCTTCCTCAACATCCAAACAGTTACAAGGCCTGCTGGGTCCTCTTCCCTATTTCTGTGGCCACAACCTTCTTATACACCTTTATTACAATACTCTTGCAACAACCTCCTATTGGGCCTTACTACTTCCACTTTCTTTTCCTTCCCCTCCAGCTTGCATTCATTATCCTATCTTATTCCTCTGCTCAGTACCCTTAGATAATGGGGTATATGGGGTGATCAGGGAGGACCAGCACCTCTGGTGGGAGGGCTTGCTGAGCCCTTTTCAGAGCTGCTCACCCACCTTTGGTGTCTACCTGCCACCCAACTGTCACCTGTGACTCCAAGAAGCTGCAACATGTACAGTGGCCACACCCTGGTAAACTTTTCAACAGATGAACCAAACCAGGTTGTGGGGAACCCCCAGACCTCCAACCTGTCAGTGAATGAGGGGGATGTCCACTCTGAGTAAGTGAAGACTTCTCCTGGTGGAATGGGTGGATGAGGACAATTTGTTCCAATCGCCATGAAGGCGGCTGAAGTAGGTGCTGTGGAGCACTCAGAGCTTGGTCAGACGCTGAAGATACCAAGGTTGTCCACTGCATCTTGGGCTTTTGCCAGTTGTATTGACTTTTGCCTTGCCATTGAACTTCGAGGACTCTGAAAGGAAGAGTGAAGTCAATGACTTTGTGCAACTCTGCCTCACTTGAATCTGATTTATGTGTGTCAAAAGACATCACGCATACCATTTTACCATTTTTACCTACCTCAAAGTCCTGTGGTGATAAGCAAGTGACAAAGCGGCAGGTCCACACCTGAGGGCTATAGTCACAACCCTGCACACAGGTGGCCTAGGCCATAGGGTCATCTCAACGGACTGAAGTAGCAGTGTGATTCAGCAGCCCCCTGAGTGTCTGAGCAGCCTTCTTATTTTTTATTTTTTGCTTTTTAGTGAGGCAATTGGGGTTAAGTGACTCGCCCAGAGTCGCACAGCTAGTAAGTGTCAAGTGTCTGAGGCCAGATTCAAACTCAGGTCCTCCTGACTCCAAGGCCAGAGCTCTTTTTTTTTTTTTGAGCAGCCTTTTTAAAGCACTGCATTGCTCTCCTCATGGTGTGAGGAAGGGGCTAAAAAAGGTGCCCTAAAAATTGTCTGTTTTACCTAACCTCACCCTGGCCTGCTTACTGCATCAGGTGGGGATCCTACCCTGCAGTTGAAACATTAAAAAAGTATAAAAACTTTTGCAGAGATGATTCCACTCAAAATCGGTACGTGGAATGTGTGCACGCTTAACGGACAGCAAGAAATCCAGTAGACCTGAAAGACGAACGGCTCTTGTTGTAAGAGAACTCAGCGGGTATCACATCTGTATAGCAGCCCTGAGTGAGACAAGGCTGGTAAGTAAAGACCGGTTTACTGAAGTCAAAGCTGTATGCACATTTTTCTGGAGTGGCTGCAGTGATAGGAGCACCATGAAGCTGGCGTAGTTTTCTCAATCAAAACTAACCTAGTAACAAGGTTGTATGCCTCCCCCAAAGGAGTGAACCACAGACTCCTGACAATGTGATTGCCACTTGCAGGAGAGCTCCATGTTTCATAATCAGTGAATATACTCCCACCAGGATGAACCCTGATAAGGTCAAAGAAAAATTTTATGAAGACCTGGAGACCTTCATCATCAATGTGCCAAAAGAGGACAAGCTTGTAATTCTGGGTGACTTTAATGCCAGAGTGGGCATTATCAGACATGGCAAGGAGTCCTTGGGAGGAATGGAATTAGAAACAGCAACAGCAAGTCACTTACTACTGAAGACTTGTGCGTCTCACAGGCTTCTTCTCAGCACCAACACTGTTTTCCACTTACCTAATACCTTAAAACTTTATGGATGTACTCTCCAAGCAAGCATTGGCATTTAATAGACCACGTCATTGTAAGGAGAAGAGACAGACGGGACGTGAGAATGACGAGGGCTATGTGTCATGCAGAGTGCTGGACTGATCATAGACTTATCCTCTCCAAGCTAAACATTCACATTCAACAAAAGTGGTGGCCTCAAGGCAAGAGGACTATGGGAAGACAATGTCAACAGATTAGAGTGCTTCTCCTAGTACATACAGTTTGCTGCTGAGCCAACACACATTTGGCAACAGTGGAGCAGAAAAGGAGTGGGAGGCTTTCAGAGATCTGGTGGATAGTACCGTATTTACTCATCTGGGCCAGAACACTCACAAATATCAAGATTGGTTTGATGAAAATTATGAGGAAATAAAGAAGCTGATAAGTGAAAAACAAGAACTCCACAGGGTTTGCCAGAAGCACAGTTTGTCCATCTCTAGGAAGGCAGCATTTAACTCCATCAAAAGTAAAGTAAAGAGAAACTTAGAGATATACAGGATTCTTGGCTCAGTAAGAAGACAGGTGAAATTCAGTCTTATAGTAAAATCCAAAGTGCTTTTATGATGCCCTGAAGGCTGTTTATGGTCCAAATAACTGTGGTGCATCTCAATTGCTCAGCAATGATGGAGCCACATTGATAAGGACGTGATCCTGCAGAGATGGGCTGAACACTTCCACTGCAATCTCAACAGACTGTTATTAGCCATTGCTGAAGCTGTGGACCATGTATCTCAGGTTGAAGTCAATCCCTCTCTAGCTGAACTTCCAACCTGAAGAAGAGATTTTGAATGTCATTAGGCTCTTCTCATGTTGGCAAAGTTCCTGCTGCTTATTCTACTCCAGCTGAGATTTACAAGGCAGGGGTCCACTGCTCATACAAAAGCTGACTGAAACCTTCCAGGTTATATGGCAAGAGGTGGTTATCCCCCAGGAGTTCAAGGACTCCTCCATTGTTCACCTCTATAAAGGAAAAGGAAATAGGTCGTCCTGTGACAATCATAGGGAAGTCTCTATCTTAGTCACTGCGGGCAAGATTCTTGCCCGAGTCCTCCTTAATAGGTTGATCCTTCACCTGGAAGATGGGAGAGCCAGTGTGGCTTCAGAAGGGGCCAAGGAATGGTTGATATGGTGTTTGCTGCCCAACAATCCCAAGAGAAATGCCAGGAGCAGAACTGAGGTCTGTATACAATGTTTGTCAATCTGACCAAGGTCTTTGATACTGTCAGTTGTGAGGGCTTGTGGAAGACCATGTCAAAATTTGGTTGCCCAGAGAAGTTCATCAATATTGTACATCAGTTTCTTTTTTTTTTCTTTTTAAAAAAATTTTTTTTAACATGTGTTTTTAAAACTTTGGGTTACAAATTTTCTCCCTTCCTCCCTCCCCACCCACCCTCATTGAAAAGGCAAGCACCTCGATACAGGTTATAGATGTGTAGTCATGCAAAACATTTCCAGAGTAGTCCTATTGTGAAAAAACTAAGTATATTTCCCTTCATCCTATCCTACCCCCCATTTATTCTATTCTCTCTTTTGACCCTGTCCCTCTTCAGAAGTGTTTGCTTCTGATTATCCCCTCCCCCAATCTGCCCTCCTCTCTATCATCCCCCTGCTCTCTTCTCCCCTTCTCCCCCTATTTTCCTGTAGGGTAAAACAGATTTCCATACCAATTGAATGTGTATGTTATTCCCTCCTTAAGCCAAATCCTATGAGAATAAGATTCACTCATTCCCTCTCACCTTCCCCCATTTCCCCTCCACTGTAAAAGCCTTTTCTTGTCTGTTTCATGTGAGATAATTTACCCCATTCTACCTCTCCCTTTCTTCTTTTCCCAGTGTAATCTTTTCTCACCCCTTAATTTTATTGTCCAGATGTCACCCCTTCATCTTCAACTCACCCTGTGCCCTCTATCTATCTATCTATCTATCTATCTATCTATCTATCTATCTACACATACATATAATTTTTTTCCCTCCCACTACCCTAATACTGACGAAAGACTCATGGGTTACAAATATCACCTTTCCATGCAGGAATGTAAACAGTTCAACCTTAATAAGTCTCTTATGATTTCTCTTTCCTGTTTATCTCTTCATGTTTCACTTGAGTCTTGTATTTGAAAGTCAAATTTTCTATTCAGCTCTGGTGTTTTCATCAAGAATGCTTGAAAGTTCCCTATTTCACTGAATGACCATTTTTTATCCTGAAGGATTATACTCAGTTTTGCTGGGTAGGTGATTCTTGGTTGTAATCCTATCTCCTTTGCCCTCCAGAATATTATATTCCATGCTCTGCGGTCCCTTAATGTAGAAGCTGCTAAATCTTGTGTTATCCTGATTGTGTTTCCACAATACTTGAATTGTTTCTTTCTGGCTACTTGAGATATTTTCTCCTTGACCTGGGAATTCTGGAATTTGGCTTATTGTATATTAGTTTCATGATGGCATGTTTGCACACGTTATGGATAATAGACAATGCTGTCACACTTTCCCAATCATTAATGGAGTGAATCAGGGCTGTGTGCTTGCCCGCATGCTTTTTAGCATGATGTTTTCCATTATATTGTCTGCTGCCTTCAAGGAAGGTGAAAATGGTATTAAGGTCAGCTACCCCACTGGTGGTAAATTATTTAACTTGAAAAGGCTACAAGCCCAGACTAAAGTGGAGGGAGAGTTAGTGTATGACTTTTTGTTTGCAGATGATGCAGCCTCTGAGGCTGAGTTGAAACAGAGTATGGATTGATTCTCTGCTGCTTGTGCTCATTTTGATCTAACAATTAACTCTAAGAAAATAGAGATTCTCCATCAGCCAGCACCATACCATCCATATGTGGAACCACTGGGTACAGCGATTTGAATGTTGTGGATAAGTTCACTTAGTTGGCAGTATACTTTCGAGGAATGTTTACATGGATGATGAGATTGATGCACATATTGCCAGAGCTAGCTCTGTTTGGAAGGCTCTGAAGGAAAGTGTGGGAGAGAGGAGATATTAGGCCACCTACCAAACTGAAGGTCTACAGAGTCATTGTGTCAACCTCATTGTTGTACGCCTATGAAACCTGGATAATATGTCAGCGCCATGCCAGGAAGCTGAATCACTTCCATGTGAATTGTCTTAGGAAGAATCTGAAGATCACCTGATAAAATAAGGTACCAGACACTAGGTCCTTTCTTAAGCTGAACTGCCAAGCATTCAAACTCTACTGCAGAGGGTACAACTCTGATGGGCTGGCCACTTTGTCCAAATGCCAAACACATTTGCCTAAAAGACTATTTATGGAGAACTCACACATGAGGCAAGCACTCACCCAGCGGTCAGAAGAAGCGACACAAGGACACTCTCCAGATCTCTCTGAAGAACTTTGGAATCAGTTATGAGACATGGGAGACACAGGCCTGCCCAGCATGGCGTTCCTGCACCAAAGAAAGCTCTATGCTCTATGACCAAAACAGAATTTCAGTAGCTCAAAAGAAACGCGAGATGAGCAAATTTAGGGACAACTCCACACCAAATGTTCACGTGGACTATTTGTGCCCAAGCTGTGGCAGAGCTTTCTGAGCTCACGTTGCTCTGATCAGCCACAGTCGGACAGACAGGAAGTACCTGGACCCCAACATAGCGATGTTATTTGGGTCCTCT